CTTTGCTTGTAATTTCTTTCCGTTTTTTCTTCACCCAATTCACAGTTCACGTAGACGTCAAAGTCAAAGCTCACGTCTTCAACTTCCATTCTTACCGCTATGACGTACGGGGCGGAGACGTGGAGCACCACAGTCTCTGAAGAGGAGAAACTCGCAGTCACTCAGCGAGCCATGGAGAGGGCCATGTGCGGGGTAACGCTCCGAGACCGCATACCCAATGACACCATCCGCGCTCGTACGATGGTGAAGGACGTCGTCGATGCCATCTATAATTCCAAGCGGAGGTGGGCCGGTCATGTGGCTAGACTTACCGATGATCGCTGGACGAAGAGAGTGACTGACTGGTACCCAAGGGGAAAAACAAGGCCCAGAGGCAGACCCCCACCAGATGGGCAGACCCTCTCGTGAAGATGTACGGCCAGTTGTGGCGCAGAAGAGCCCGAAGCAGAGCGGCCTGGAAGATGTGCGACCTGCGTTTCTGGCGTGCCCGGGACGAATAGCGGTCGAGAAGTAAGAAGTAAGTGATGCACAGTTCACACACCTTATAGAAACTACCAACTGGAGTTTCTTCCGTGCATATGTCTCTTCAAACGAGACAACTAATGCATGAGATTCGACGATATCATTTCATATATAGGTACAACGGAGGCGTTGTTACGGTGTTCCACTATATTACCGAATTCAAAGAAGGAAGAGAATGCTCAAATAGTTGTCATGCTGACGACATTGACTGATTACTGAGTTTCAATCCGACGGGTCAATCAAAACTTTTAACCAACTTCTAACCAACCAACGGCTCGGCCAATATTTTTCCGTCAGGTCTGGGAGAAGATGTAGGTATTGTACACAGGCTTACATCAACTGCCCTCGCCTCCATCGCCTCGCAAACCTCTCTATAGGTCAGTTACGGAATCTACAGAGCGAAAGAGAGACGGTAAATGACGAGTGGATTACGTGCCATGAAAGTTAACTTATTCTTAGTAAAAATAAAAAAGGATAAAGCATTTGCCGTTGATCAATCCCTTTTTGGGATGCGGCACGCATTCTACTTCCATTTGTACATTCGTAGTGGCGTTTGAATGCGATGTGGCCTATACAATGACTTGCGGGGGCCAGCCGATGTACAAGTCAGTGTTTTTATCCTCCCAGACAAGTCTGGTACCAATTAACCGACCCCGGAGGGATGGAAGGCTTGGTTGGCCCGGGCGACTCACGACCCAGGATTTGATCCCGGACCGCTCGCGTGGTAAGCGTGCCACTTGCCACTACACCACTTCCGCCCTTTCTTAGTAATGGAGCATAATGTTGTGCACTCCACCCCCCCCCCTCCCAAACTGTACGTTTCACCCAAAAATCAAACAATGCGGAGGGGCTAAGTAAGAGCAACGACATCGGAGCTATTCAGAAGGCGGCTCTGTGGTAGTTGTCTTGAGTTTATCCTTTTAAGCAAGTAAACACTTTCCTGGAGACGAACAGTAAGCAAACTAACAAAAAGTATGTATGAGATCTGACAAGCACATTGGAGCTTTTTGTCGCAAATGTTGTGCACAGCTTCTTTTATAAAAACATTTTATTTGTAATGAATGGAGTGCGTGCAGTGAGCTATGCTGAGGACGTTGACAGCATCTACTCAACCTGCGAAAGAGAGTATGAGCTTTTTGGCAGGTTGAGTTTTGGTACTGTAACTGCGCCCTTCTGGGGTTTTGGTGGTGACGGTGGTGCGCTGGTCCTGCAATTTCAAATATTTACAAAATTCCTTATTACTATTATCTACTGTTTTAAGTAGGACGCTGTGAATAACAATATTTGTACCTTCTGCGGAGGTAACCGCCATAGGGGTTGCCATAGTTGTAGTGATGGTGATCGTGGCGGTGGTGGGTATCATATCCTTCACCGTAGACATCATCATCATCGTCGCCGTATCCGTTTCGCCCACCATAGAAGCCGTAGCGGTCATCGTCGAGCCCACCATAGGAGGAGTAGCGGTCATCGTCCTTATCTTCTCTATCAAATATTGAGACACTGCAATGCACTTGTTACAGTCTTCCACAATTATTTTCAAACTTCATTCTCATACTTTGGATTCACCTTCCACCAATGCGTCTTCTCAGCACATGGCCAAAGACAGCCTCGAGGTTGATTGCTAGAACTACGAAGAAGAGCAAGGCGTAGATCTTCATCTGAAAATGAAATGAAATTTGCTTAGTTGATTACAGAATTTATCTGAGAGCAAAGAAGAAGGAAAGGGGAACAAATGAGATCACCTTGATGATTTGACATAAAAGCGATGCTCTTTTATACCGAAGTTTGGACTCTTAATCTATTCTCGGACGCCAATTGGGATATACATTGAAGCGTTTCATCTGTAATTAACGCAGAAGCATCACTAATTTTGCACATATTTTTTATGCTGAAAGTATCTTTGTGCAAAATCGGGCATTACAGTCGTGCCTGCATTCATATATGCCGTCGTGAATACATATTATATAATATAATGCAAAATATAACACACCCATCAATTGCTTCAATGTTGCAACTGCTCAGCTAGAATGGAAAAGTGTAACCTAACGAAGACGATGTTTATGAGAAACGGATTGGTTCCTGATGCCCCATTCACGCTCAACGGAACGAACATCACCGAATGCTCCAGCTACGTGTACCTAGGTCGGGAAATCAATATGATGAACGATCTAGCTCCAGAGCTGAGCAGGAGGAAACGAGCGGCATGGGGAGCGTTTAAGAACATCGAGGGAGTAGTGAAGAAGACGAAGAACATCCGGCTCCGTGCCCACCTCTTCGATTCCGCTGTCCTTCCTGCCCTAACCTACGCCTCAGAGACTTGGACTCTGCGCAGGCAGGACGAGCATGCGGTCAGCGTTATCCAACGCGCTGTCGAGAGGACGATGCTAGGAGTAACCCTATACACGCAAGTGCAGAGGGGAATCCGGAGTTCCGAACTACGCCAACGATCGAAGATCAGGGACGCTGCCGTTTTCGCCAAGGAATCGAAGATAAGGTGGGCCGGACACGTCATGCGATTTTGCGATGACCGTTGGACCAGAGCGGTTACCGACTGGATCCCTCGGGACGTCAAACGAACACCTGGACGACCGCCGGCCCGATGGTCAGACTTCTTCACGAAAGCTCTGAACGAAAGGAATGAAGGACTTCGTGTCCCTCGAGCGAGGAGGATCCACTGGACAACTCTTGCACGCGACAGGGACGAATGGAGACGTTGCTGGCGCCCGCTCGAGCAAATCGACGATCAACGGGACGACAGGTGATACAGGTGATACAGGTGACTATGCCAGCACTCGATTCTTCGACGGGATCATGGTGCACACTTCAGCAAAGTTCAGCAAGGTCCCTGATGGATTATTGGCCATTGCGACGTAATCTGAGTAGCTGGTCGGCAGGAATCTTGCATAGTCAGAGCTTGTGTGTTTAGAAAGCTACCCATTAATTTACGATTGAAGAAATTGTGTAGCAGCTTCAGGAATGGAGCGATTACGGTAACCTCCTTGAGCTTGACGGTGGCAGATGACGTCATATTCTGAAGACGGTAAAAGCAGTGATGTAGGGCCTGGTCCCGCTTACGGGGAACACCTACAAAATATTTGCCGTGAAACTCGCAGGTACGACGGCACCTTTCGACGAAGGGTTCGGTGTTGTGCGTTATGGGCTAAGTGACTTTTCGGCCTTCATGTATACGCAAAAACCAAAGGGGACGCACCAACACGATTTTTATCTTTGGATTGATTTTTCGCAACTGAGACCACTTCAACATTATCCGATTTTGAAGAAATTTCTCTAGAATATTCATGTCAAAATTCGATGAATAATAATTCAGAGCAACCCGTACAATGTTCTCTCAAATAGACTACGCATGTCTATTTTGAGAGAACAACAATTTGATGTTGTTTTCGTTGCTGCAGTTGAGCGAGCAAAAGCCTTTCATAGGGATCCTAGCAGCCTGGCCTCGACTGCAGTCATCAAATCCGATCCTTTTCAGCTTTCACTCATGTCTCCCTTTGATGAAAGGGTTTCACCTGTTATTTCTATCCCACACACCGGAGTTAGTAAACTCTGAAATCGTAAGTTCCTCAAATGTTGAGCTGTCGTTCTGACTTTATGTCATGGTCGTGATAATGCCATCTTCTATATAAAACCTTTTTGACATGAGCATTCCCTCCATGAGGTGTTGCTGTCACAAGTGAAGGGAGTGCAGCTTACGCAGGAAAAGAAGGTCCCGGCGCTTGTCGGGGTACAAGTCTGTTTCAAAAATGGCATGAAAAGTCGTTAAAACTAGTGTTGGAAATTGCAAGTTTCAAAAAACTTTCGCCTTTTCTTCTTTGGCAACTTTCGCTTCTCTTTGGCATTTGTGAAGCTTCTCAGGTGAAAAATCTTATCACTGTGTTCACCACCGGCACCCCCAGAACGTGGAAGTGGCCGGATTGAGTAAGCGCATAGTTTGTCAAAGGATTTGCAGCAATGGCACTACTATCAATACACAGGCTTACATCAACTGGCCCCGCAAACCACTCTATAGACCAGTTACGGAATCTACAGAGCGAAAGAGAGACGGTAAATGACTGAAGCTGCATTATGGAAATCGTGGAGAACTTTTAGAGGCAGATAGATCTTAGGTGGGTTTGTTGGTGTGTCTATCGGTGCGTGTTTTCGTAACGCAAGTGACAGTAAGGATAGCGCTTTGGTTCTCACATATGCTGTAGGAGGTGGGGCTGCGCTGGATTTCTACGTTTTTTCCTTCTACCTTCTACCTTCAAAACATAAAACGATTTCATTATTGCGCCCCAATTGCAATTGCTGGCAAGCTACTTGCCAGCAATTGCAATTGGGGCGCATTTACTGCGGGCATGTTCAGACAACTCGTCCAACAAGCGTCTTCCTCCATTGCTAAGTGGCAGAGGGGGAGTCCCTGTCTAAGCCCTGTTCGACGTTTTTTTTACTTTTTCTTTCATTATTGGTCAACTTTTCACCTACAACTTCATTATCGGTGGTTTTTGCCCGCAAATTCGTTCTTGGATTGTTGCTTTAAGATGTTATCGAACCAATGGACTTTCCCAACAAATGAAGTGCATTTATTGTTTACGAAGATTTCATGCGTACTGGGAAATGGACTTTATAATTACCACAAATACGTGTGGCTACGCCCCATAAATGATGAAAGAACATCGCAATTCGAAGACAACTGATGTCGATGATTTGCAACAGATTGTGGTATCGATCAAAAGGAATTGATAACATCTGATATCGTTTAGCTTTATGGAATCTGCCACATTCCATGAAGCCGCAGTACGACCCCTATGGCCCAAGTACAGGGAGGGCATATCTTAAACGGCAGAACACATTTCATTCCAGTATCAAATGGCAAAAAAAACCATTGCTTCCACTGAATTAGCTGGCAGATGGTATGATGGATGATATTTACAAATAAGAGCTGGTAGTGAGCAGCCCAAGTATCCGTATTGATCATACTAAATTTATTCGACCGCGTGGGCTATGTAGTTTCGGAAAGTGGCGGATATTATGGGAATCTACAAGCTACGATAAGTGACTGATTTGTCACCAACACTACAGTAACCTTTGAACTCATGGCTCATGAACCAGTGAGATCCACTGAAAGCATGCATGCTGCCTAAAACAAGAGCTCGGCTGGCTAAGTTCCACTGAAGCGTACTTCGGCATGCGCTCGGTAGTGAGCGGAGCCAAACCCGGTGATTATTTATTCATTACCTATTCCTGATCCTCTTACAGCAGTCCCGATCTTC